ACACACACACACACACACTCTCCATTCTGCAAAGACACAAAACAACTGGGAGGCACAGACAGAAAAAGACGTGGCTGCAATTAAAAGACAACAGTTGTTTGTAAAGACAACAGCGGAAGCAGAGCACGACACAGACTAACGAGACACTTTCCCAGGTGTAAGACAGACTGGCTGGCAAAGCTCAAAGACATGAAATCAACAGTACACAGGGGCATAACATGACAGAACACACGGCACAGGTTACAACAGCTTCATCCGCCTCCGTTACGATTTCAGTTTGACGTGCGAGTCATCGTCTACGTGCATGAAAGTGAAAAAAAGGAGAAATCCGTTGTGCGTGTTTGAGAAAACCTGAACCGAAATTCACGATTATTCATTTTGTAGTTTTGTACCTGAAAGTGTATTTAGTTAAAGTCGACGCCAAAATAAATGAAAACCACAACGTTTAACTGTGTTCGATCTCGTCTTTCTTTTTATGTCTGTGTGCCAGTGGTGCCAGATATTTAGTTCATCAGAGTGAGCTGCCTCGTGGTACTTTCAGAAAGAACTCGTTGAAAACTCTTCTTCTACTGTCTCAAATGACCTGAACTAACAACGTGCTTTTCGGAAAATAAATATCTGATTTCTTTCCTCACACTTTAAATTTGCTCGTCTGCCTCAATGTCCTGAATTGGGACACATCGTTCTCACAACACGACCACTATGAGTTCAAGCGTCTCAGACGAGCGGCCGTTACAACTCATTTAACCCGTCCTCTTGATCTCGGCCTGCGCTCAGTGCTGCCCCCTGTTGCATTACTCACCAATGATGGCTTCCCATTTCCCATTGGCCTGTGTGACCTCATAGGCGCAGCGCATCTCACTGAAGGACACGCCGCCGATGATGAAGACCATGACACGGGGACCGGTGCGGTACTCTCCAGGTGTCTTGTTCTTGTGCCAGTGGCCGTACCGAGCGCTGCGGGAGCAGAACACACGTCATCACAGGTTCACAGCAGCTCTGTCAGATTTAAACTTGAGAGCTTCAGCTGCAAATGAAGCTGATCAGGATCTGATGCTGAATCAATACACACCAGCTGCAGCTACACACACACACACACACTTGGAAATATTGATGACTTGTATTCAGGTCAGTTTAGGTTTAATATTTCAGCTGATGTCATTATTTTTCTGGAGTAGCGGTTCGGCCACGTTGTCGTCGTTCGTTTCTTTTTCTCCGTCTCATCTCAAATTGTTTTGTGTATTTATAAAATTCCTCTGCTTGTTTATTTTGCTCGATCAAACCGTCTTCAGATTGTTTTTACTGGTTATGTGCCTTTGTTTGTTTCTGGGTTTTTAAATATGTTTTTATTTTCGTTATTTGTAAGAAATGTTTGTTGTATTTTGCGATTGATCTTATTTATTCGACGTCTGCCGACATTTCTGTGAATCCAATTAAGCAATTACAATAAATGCAACGAGTCAGTTTTCAAAATGTGGAAACTTCAGTCGTGTGTTATTTCCTCTTCCTGTCGTTGTTCCTCCAGCTTCAGCTTTTCTTCTTCCTGTTTTTTAGGCTGGGATACAAACTGCAGCANATGAATTTTTGTTTGTTTGGAAGCAAGATTATGCAAAATCTCCAGCATGGACAGAATTTGACGGAAGGGTGAGACAGAAAGAAAGAAAGAAACATTTTGGTGCATATCTGAAATAAAAAAATTTTCTTCTTACTTTCTTTCCCAAACTTTCTTTAACATTGTGAGTTCCAGCGATTTACAACCTTTAGCGCTGATTCCTCAGAGGACGATTTGTGGATTTTGATGAAAAAAATCAGGCAGTTTAGAGAACTGACATTTATGAAATATTTGGTGCAGCTTTCACTGAGGAAAACATTTCGCTTGATTTCTCCAAGAATAATTCACGGATCTGTTGTGGATCCAAATAAAAATCCTTTCTTCTTGAGTCTAATATTTAAAACACGATACGGAACACGAGTCTGCAGATGTGATAAACTGGACATTTGGATTCAGCCTCCCAGAAGCCTCAGCAGAAAGACGACAGGCGACTGAAGGATGGAACTCCCGCCCTGATTGGCTAACTGTCGGCGAGACTGATGGAGCGGCCCGTGCGCTGAGGAGAGGTCGGGGGTGCCCATCCCCGAGGGACATGGGGAGGAGGAGGGTGGAGTTAGACAAAACAGGACTGAGTGTTCAAAGGAAGGAGAAGGAACGAGGAGGAAGCCCTTGTGCTGTGAAGGTTCAGAAAGGGCTTCATTGTGCGGCTGCCTTTACTTTTTTCAGTGTGATTTCTCTCTCCCTCCCTCCCAATCTGTCTCTGCCTCACTCGGCCGTGGGCTCTGCGTCCTCAAAGGACACCCTAGTGGACTCTCGGAAGTCGGGGTGCTGCAGGTCCGATAAGAATTTGGTGGGGGTGAGCATGTGGGTGGAACCTGTGGAGGAACAGAGGCGGCTTCACCACTCGTCTCTCAGCACATGCCACGCCCCCCTCCCCCAATCGCTCCAAAAATAAAACCCAGAAGGGTTAAAACAGACACACACACACACA